CCATCCAGGGTGGAGAGCAGCTAGCTATTTACAGCAGTGGTGTGTAACCTTTTTTCATTCATGACCCCTGAATTGCCAAAAATGATGGACCCAGTTGTTGAGAAAAAAAATAACTGTTGGGCCACCAAAATGCAGTCATGGCCCCTTTAATTACCAGGCCACTCCCTCGCCACACGTCTGTCGGGCGCAGAGTCAGGAAAGGCAGAAAATACTGGCCAGCCAGATCACAGTGCTGCGACCCCCTACGAAGACCCCCAGGTTGTGCCCCGCTGATTTACACCATGAGCTGTTCTCATGCCCGTTCTCAGCAAAGCGGCTGCAGGCTGGATCCAGAGGCTTGGAGGACTGGATCTAGCCTGCTGGCAGCCTCTTGCCCGCTCCTGTGCCAGGGGAACGATAAAAATACAGACTTTTGCTATTAGGTCACCAGTTCATATCATGACTTAAATGGTCATGACCAAAACTCATAATCTCCTGATGGCCATTTAGAAGATGTGAAAGGTTTGTTGATCTCAGTCCATTTTCTACACATGTGCAGGAAGCTGGTATCAACTGGCATTATCATACACCATTCTTGCTAGCAGTCTCCATAAAACAGAGAATTGACTAGACTGTGGGCTGAACTACTCTATCACTTAGTAGTAATGTCTAGAGAAGAGGGTCAAGGCTAATTGGTAGGGCTATTTATAGAAAGTTTGCCCTGCTTTTGTCTATACTGTTCATCAGTTATTTTGTGGAGGGTGACAAGTCTGGTGCCTTTTCCAAGACAAATTAATTTTTTTATTGAAAAATAACCTGGGAAAAAACACAACAAAACGTTGTGGTTTCCAGTCAAAACTGGTGCAACAGAGTGCATCTCTTTATGTTGTATTATAGAATTATTTTATGAAGGCTAAGTGTAACTGTCATAGCTTATTCTACACTAGTGAGTGAGAGTGGATCTCTAACTTAGAAAATATTGATTCTAAACTGATTTTTATAAAGTTTACAGATGCCTGTATCAGGCTGGCACATTTTAAAATGAGGCATGATAAATATATATAAGGAGTGCACAGGTAAAGAATTGAGAGGGGAATAGCAAGGTTCTGACAGTGGCATTAAATTTAATTTCAGTTCTTGCATGTGTCATCTTTTTTTAAAAAAAAGCAGTAAACACTCTGGTATTTTACTATTTTATTCATCTTCTCTTTGAAAGCGCCCCCAGAATATACTGAAATATCCCAGGAGATTAATCAGGGAAGGAAGTAGTCTATCTGGATAGCTAACCACTGGGAGACCTGATCCAAACCTGCTGCAAGCCAATGGGAATCTTTGCATTTACTTCATTTGGCTTTTTGGTTAGTCCTTAACAGAGTATAGGTATAGAGACTACAGGAATTAAGAGTGTGTGTATGTCAATTTATTCATATGCACCTTAGTTTACTTATTGTTGGGTTGAGACGCAGCAATCAAGCTATCTCCAAGCCCAGAGATCGTAATAACTGGGCTGGATGGAATCTACTAAATTTCTAAGGCCACTTACCAGAGGATTGATGGTCTGGTGCTTGATCTTCTGCAGTTCAATTTAGAGGGTCTAGTAAAGACATTCTAAATCTAATGCTGAGGGCTCCCCCATCAGTACTGTTACTCCTTGCTGTAGCGAGGAGTAAGGGAAATCAGATCTACTGTGGAGACAGTGCCAAGCTCAGCTTAAGGTATGTCAACTTCAGCTACATTATTTACTTTCCCCTGCAGTATAAACCTGGCCTAAGAAAAGAACAGGTGTAGGTAAGGGGAAATGTGCATATAGACCTCTACTGCTTTTCCCTTTTGCTCTTGTGCTATGTTCCTTTTGGATGGATGAATGATTTGTTAAGAAATATGTTTAATCAGCTCAGTGGTCGCAAATCCCTAGAAGAAAAGGATCTATTGACACCCCTACCCCCAAGCACAGTTGAGTCTGTTGTTAAATGTTGTAAAACAGTGGGCTGCAACCCAAAGATCCAATCTAACAGAAGTTGCTATTTCTTTGTCCTCTTGCAAAGAAACTAGTGGTAGTTTGTTCCACTGTGATTTTTTTGTTTTGTTTTTTCTTATGAGGAAGATCATTGCGTTAATAAAAGGACTATTTTTTTTATTAATGGAAATAGTAAAGACTAAAAACAGAGCAGATACTTACATTTAAAAAGATAGTGGATGTCATGGGAAAACTTTAGTGTGAAGTTCTTTTTGAAAATCTGGCCCTAAATATAATTTTTGACTATACCAGTCAAAGCAAGGGAATTTATATGTAAGCAAGCAGTGAGGCAGTAAACGCACCTGATAGTTTGCTGTGGCCTGATCTTAAAAATATGTGAGTAACTTAAATACTCATATGTTTGCAGGATTGGACTCTCAGGCTATGTCTACACTACCAGTTTGAAATAATAACTCCTGAAATAACTATTTAAAAATAAGCTTATTCCTCTTCACAAGCAGGAGTTATTATTTTGAAATCACAAGTCCATTATTTCAAAATAACAGGCTTCGTAGTGTGGACACTCGCCTCATTATTTCAAAATAAGGGGAATTATTTTGAAATAACTCCCCAGTGTAAACATGCCCACAGGCTGAGCTTTTCAACAGATGTAAACTAACTTCAGTAAGCTAATGACAATGTGCCTATGACAGTTTTTACACTGCTTACAATTCTGCTTTAGACTCATGTGCTTCCAGTTCTTGAGGATTTTCAATATGGATATGCGTAGCTATAATATCCACTCTAGGTAAGAATTATGCCACTGCTACTAATGTGTCCTGCAAATATGGTGGCAAACACAGGAAGAACACACTCCTATTTGCAATCTGTTCAGTGTCAGACTATGCACATCTGTTCAGCAATAATGCATGAATGAAGCCATATTTCAAATGAACCAAGTTACATCATTGGTCAGATAGTAAAAATTTCTGCAAGAGCTGCATAGGGATTGTTGATGCATAACAGCGATTCCCCATGTTGTAGGCCAGTCATTTGCAATTTCCCTTGCTATCACTAATAGCTCTCAACTACCCTTGTTACAGAGTTTTTTCAGATCACTGTTCAATTCCTTTCTTTCTCTTCCCACCCCAGTGAGGTACTCTCCACACTGTATGTTGGTGCCTAGGGCCAATTCATGCAACTACTGTACTTATAACATTACTCATTAAGATAACCTTATTGACATGTTTTTGTTTTTGGTGGAAGGGATACTGCGTACTAAGCTCTGTATAAAACTCAGAACATGTACTGCCCAGCTTTAAATAAAAATTCATTTGGATATGTGTAACAACTTTACTGTTGGCGTGCATGCCATGAAGAATTATTGTGAATAAAGTCAATAGTGCCTAAGTGTCACAGCACATGGTGTTCTGTTAGCTGATCTAATTGAGTTTTTGTTGTATAAAAATCATCCAACCCATCTATTCTTTGGAGATAGCTGAAATAACTATGCAGCCTGGGGACAACTTAAAGCTGAAGTTCTTAAACCACAAGAAACTTTCACATATTAAGCTTAAATACAGATTATTTTTACTTGGGGTAGTTGTATCTAAACAGGAGCCAACTCCCTCACTCCATCTCCACCTCCACTTGATCCTGCAGTGAAATCTTTGGCCCAGTTACAGTGAACTTGGAACTACTGTATACACATATATCTAAGTAAATGGAAATCATGAACATACTTCCAAGGAATGAATTTGACTACCAGTGCATAATATATATCAATTACTTCTATGTCAACAGACTGATCTCATAATGATGGGATGACTTTACCATAGGGAAAAGCAGGAGAGCTTGAACTGTGGAGGATAAAAACTTCTGCTGATAAGCATCCCCAATCAGCAAAGATGAACAGAAAAAATGGAAGGGGTGGGAGTTTTTGTGGGGAAAGGGGAGTGGTACAAATGTCAATCTTCCTCAGATGAGCAACCTTACTTAGGAGAGAGACTGTATTAAAGTCTGTGAGTTTGTTCTCCCACTGGCTTAAATTAGGACATCAGTGGTTTTACAAACTGGTGCGAGAGTAGAATCAGGTCCAATAAGGATTGCTCATAAAGCCATAACATACATTTTCACAACTTTAAAGTTTTTAAATATGTTTTGGTTAAGATGAAATATAATGTATGGAATCAATTTAAATATGTTGCAACACTACATAATATACTTGTAAGGGGACAGTCTAACAGACTGCTTAGACTCTGCTCCAGTCAAGGACTGTAAGTGTAAAATTACTCACTTACTTTGTGTACATTGTATTTTTAGAATATATACTGTGTTTAATTTTTAGAGCACAATTTAAAATGGGCAAAAGACACCTATTTAAAGTCTGGGAGTTTAGTTCTTTTTTTCCCTCACTTAGCAGGGCCAATCCCACATTCTTTCCTCTCTTGTATCGTCTATGAAGAGATTCATAGACTTCAAAAGAATTATCCCTATGAGTTATAATTATTGGAGGACAGAAAGGCTGCAGGATGTCCCAGAGAGGAATATGCTTATAAAGAGCATGGGCTAGATTCTGAGCTCAGCTACTCCGATATGAAGTTGCTCCGTTTTTGCTCCATGGTAACTGAGATTAGAATCCGTCCTCCTTTTTCTAAGAATAGCTACAAGGCTCCTGTGTTACTTAGGAGGTTTCTACTATAATAAATAATTGGAGCCGTCTAATGTACAGAGGAGGGAATCGTTGAGTGTGAGCTCACGGGGAGGGGGCGAGGGGCCTGGCATTAGGGAGTTAGCACCGTGCCGGGCACAAGGAGGTTCCGATGCAGACACTGCCAGGGCAGCGTGTTCCTGGCCGGGGAGTTTCGGGTTGGCTCTGGCCGGGCTGTGAGTCCGCAGGGGAGGGTGCAGTATCCTACTCTGTGCTTCCCTAAGCGCTCAGTAAGAGTCAGTAACCGTCACGACGAGCGGCAGGACACACTGGACGGGACACACTGGACCGGACAGGGGGAAAATAAGTGACGCATCCTACCCGGAGGGCTCCCTCACTGAGTCTGCTGTGTACCTGCTCTGCTCCTCCACGCTGCGGTTCTCCGCCGCCCGCCACTCGGGCAGGGTGCTGGCGCACAGCACCACCATGGACACGATGACGAAGAGGATGGAGACCGTGGCCAGGATCTGGGCGGCCACGGACGAGGTGGGCTCCTCGAAA